GTGCTCATTAATAATTTACATGATATTTTGGTATAAACAGTTCTCAGCTGTTAAATGTCGTGTTTATCATATACTCTAATAAGTTATTATTCCGACATCTTTATTTAACATGATTAAAATTTTATAAATTAAGTTGTGTTTGTTGTATAAGTGTGCTTTATTGTTTTTGTGTCTTTGTTATTCGTAGTTTTATTGTATGTATTATTGTAATTTATAAACAATTAAACCGGTTGTTTAGGTTATGACAAACGTATGCAATTGTTTTTGATGACGAAAAACATTTTTATCATTTTGGTTTTATATTATTCTATGTTTTAACTTTAAAATATTGTTTGTTTAATTCAAATATCTTTTATTACATAACTCATTTATTATTTATTGTATTTTTATTGATTGTTCAAATCAAAAATGATACATTTTTTAAAAATGTAATATAATAAATTCAAATGTGTAACAACACATTCAATTCGTTGAATTTGTATGGCGATATCTTTCGTGTTGACAACTATATAATTATTAAACACAATAAGTATTTTTTTAAATCAATTAATCGATTTGTTTTTATTTTTTTCATTTATGAAAACTTTAATTCAATAACAAAAATAATTTAAGTATGTCAAAATGTTATTTGTTTTTGTTTTTTCATCACAATTTAGATAAAAATTATTTTGATTAATGGCAAATTTGCTAATATGGTCAAGTTTTTGATTGAATGAACAATAATATAGTAATTTAAATAAAAACTATATTTTATTATTTTAAAGAAATTTTATTTTATTATATAAAAAACCATTGAAATAGTAAATTATTTTTTATGTGAGTTACTTTTATAAAAGTGAGTCAAAAAGCGAAGTAGTGAGTCATTTTTTGACAAGTGAGTTTTAAAAGTGAGAGGTGAGTTAATAGCCAATAAACAAGAAGTTTCTATTTGATGCATGATCATATTATATTGTGTTTAAATTATATTTTATGATTTAATCAATCACAAAGTTCAGTACTTGTTTTAAATCAAATGTTATTAAATAATTAATTGTTAATAATTAAATTTAATTAATTGAATTGCTATTCTTAACTATAAAATATAATAAAATTAATCAATAAAACAATTGAATTGGTTTTGATTGATATTCAAAGACGACAAATTGTAAATAAATTGTTCTTTGCCGTAGTTGACCATAATTGGATTTGTTTGTCTGAATGCGATAGCAGCAGACAAATCCGAAAAGTCTATTTTTACTTTTTTTATTAATTTTCCATTGACAGTGAAGAAGACTTCATTAGTGCTTTTAATAAAACCACACCCGGCTATATCCACTTTACCAAGTACTAATCCAAACGTCACTTGTTGCTCATTTTCAATTTCATTGCCGTTATAATAAAAGGATCCATCACTAGAATCCATTCCAATAGAAGGAGTCCCCCACCATTAAATACTTAAACAAATAGTATGTACTTGACACGACTCCTAATGACACACAACTAAGTCCTTCCACACTGATCTCAAAATATTTTAAGTCATTGGAATTATAGTTCTCGGACTTTCCAGTCGAGTTGATATACGTAATGTTTTGTGTATACCCCATCTTGTCCCAAAAATAAAACGAAATTAACATCTCATAATCTAAGTCTTTGTGGTACTCACTTTGAGGGATAATGTTCTTGGTAACTACAGACCCAAGCGACATTGGTACAAATTTAGACAGCCCACAAAATTCATTGCAGTCGTTTCTAATTACATTATTTTTGTTTTCACTGTAGTAGAATTCAATTTTATCAATTTTAGATTCAAATCCATCAAATTTAACATATGAATTTCTTATATAAATTTCAGTATTTAACTTCTCAAGTTTCAATTTTGATATTTTCAGAGTTGTGCACTGCGAAATAGAAACATTCTGGACCTCTGGAATTTCCATATGAATTGAAGTTGAAGTCGCTTCACTGCAAATAATTCGTTTCACTTTTGTTGTGCAATTTGTTTTAAATTTGATAGTACAAGACTTACACACCTGGACAACTTCAAGTTGCTGAAATTCGCACATTTTATCAAAAATGACTTCCATTGAATTTTCGATAAAAATCGTTTTTAAATGTGGCGCTTTTATGCAGAACCTTCCTTTATCAACGCCGTTCAAATTAAATGTTTGTATATTCAAAAAGTCTGCACCAAAGGGCTCTCGTATTCCAAATCTACAATTAAACAATTTAAAGCTCAAAATACTATCAGAAAGCCTCAACAAGTGTTTTTCATCTATTGGCAGTTGTATAACTTCAAGAAAATTGTTATCGACATGGTCTATACTATAAACATCTCTTTGAATGTCAGAAAAAATTAAACTAGTAGGGCAGACCTTCTCTAAGATAATATCTAATTGCTTCTGATTTAAAATAGTGACTTACTCATTAATTTTTAAAACGGCATTTTCACACACAACTCTATTTGTGTATTTCTCACTCATTTCTGGACTAAAAGTTCGCGAGTAAAACATAATCTTTTTGAATTTTTCAAGTTTTTGAGAATCATCAGAAGAAATCGTTGAAGCCAAAATAGAAATTGCCACGTCATCACGATGTAAAAGACACTTCTCGAGTATCAGAGACTGTTCTAAGACACTCTCGTTGATCTCGAGAGGACGCCCATTTGAAGTGTTAATATGAATTGTGCGTGGTAATCTAATACACGTGGAAGCATTGGAATTGGTCACTTTTGTGATAAAAGAACAGACCCCCTCGAATCACCAGACAAGTAATTGAGTCGAGTAAAAATGTCTACATTGTTCATGACGAAATAATTGAGTTGTTGTATTGTTTCTGTGGAATAAAAATTACTTTTGGCTTCGTTGGAACTTAAATATAGAAACACCATTTTGGGAAAGAGTTCTTCACACATTTTTTGATCTAAAATGCCGTCTGAAACAATATCTTCAATTTCACATGTTTTAACACACTGAACACACTGGAGAAGAGGCAAAACGTCTGAGTCCAAACTTGAATATAACAAGGTGTCTGGTGTGAAGTATTTAAAGAACCAAAGATAAGAGGAAACATAGTTAAAAGGCGGATTTGTTTTGAGGGCATGGAGAGAAGATTCACATTTGTGAGAGACTTGAAGAAAAGTAAAAACGTCTTCTTTTGTACAGAATTCAAGTGCAATTTGAACAAATATGGAAGTTCTAACATTGTTGGCATGTGCTTTTAGTTTTTAGTTGTAAATTTCTAAAGATCAATTGTATGTTGAATTATTTAATCTTTATTTAAATTTTAAAGTCAATAATAATAATAATAATTGATATTTTTATTTTTTTTATTAAACACATATTTATTTGTAATAAAAATTTATTCTAAAACCAACTTTGGTTTAAACAACCAAAAATAAACAACATAATTAGAGTTAGACAAGTTTGCCTTAAATGGAATATTTTGACTTAAATGGTTCACGTTGATGGTTTAAAAACTATTAACAATAGTAAACAATGGGATAAACTAGAAAATAATTAAATGGTTAAATAGAATAATATTTAAATTATTATTAATTTTATTGTTTTTTGTTACAGTTGAATCTTAAAAATAAAACCAAAACACATTTTAAGTATTGTTTTGTATGTTTCAACATGTTTGTCTCGTTGTATTTAAACATCTTAAAACATACACCGCCTCATTCGGAAACGTTTGTGTTACTTTATTTTTATTGTAAATACAATAAATTAGCAGTATTTCCTATCGTGATGGGTAAATACTGTTTTTAACTTAACCAAATAATACACATAAAAACGAATTCAATGAAAGGAAATATTGCCAAACCTCCCAAGAGTGGGATTTTAAGAACCTCCGCTTGATTATGGCAAGTGAAACGTATACCCACTTAATATAGAGTGGGCCTATGTTTTTCGGTTTGTTCTTAATTAATGTTCGTTTAATAGAAAACAACAAGAACTTTGAATACACATTCTGGAAATCAGACTGTATTTATAATTGACTTGAATTTGAAATGTTATGGTTATACAATCAAATAATTTTTAATTGTACTTTACGTTGTTTGCTAATATATTAAAATGTTGATAATGATCATGATTGTGTGATAGTTTATAGTAATCTTTACTGGTTTATAGCTTTCTTATTCTTATTATAATCGTTTGGGTTTTTGACTTGCTTTTAATTATTTAATTATTTACAGTGTTATTCACTGGGTTTTCGATTCCCACCATTTTCAATAATTATTAAGTCAGTTTATTAATTATTTAGTCAAAAAAATAAATTATTTCGTCACATATTTTAATTAAACACCACCTACAATTATTAGTCCAGCATAATTAATAAATAGACCATGCAAAAAAATATTAATACCATCACAAATAGTTTCAATATTATAATTTTTATATTTCATTCACAAAAATAAATAGGCGCACCACAAACTTATATGTTCACGTCATTTAGAATTATTAAAGTTTTTTCTGAATTATTTCACTTTCAACAAAAAAATAAATTATTTCTTTATAAATGTTATAAAAAAATATTACAATGAAATTAATTTAAAGATTATCTTGAGCATACACCTTTCTCCAAACTTCATTTCTACATCTTTGCATTGTCGCATTAATTTCATGTAATTATTTTGAAATGCTGTTTAACAATGTGAATGAAATGAGTAATGCGGTTTTTGCGGTTTTAATGGTTCAAAGGATATATACTTCCCACTTTCATCAACTTTGTCAGCAAAGCAGCGCAATGAATAGGTATTCCAAAAGTCTGTTAAAATCTTCTGATTTCTGGTCAGGTTTCTTTCCAAACTCTTCAACAAACAGTTGCTTGAGCTTCAAACCAATTTTGGTGTATTGGTGCTTTTAGTGTTCTGAATGTTCTGGCCCAAATTTCTTCGGTCTTCATCTTGGATTTGATTGTATTGGAGACGGAATGAATAGTTGAATTGCAAATGATTGGAGCAGAGTACCTAGTAGAGGTGTAGGCGTTAATTGTCTATAATCGGTCCGTACACTTGAATCTGTGAGATCAACGTGATCTACTGATGCTCGGTTCATTATACTTTGAAATAGTTTTAATGTCGATTTTTATTTTTTTTTGTTGAAAGTGAAATAATTCAGAAAAAACTTTAATAATTCTAAATGACGTGAACATATAAGTTTGTGGTGCGCCTATTTATTTTTGTGAATGAAATATAAAAATTATAATATTGAAATTATTTGTGATGGTATTAATATTTTTTTGCATGGTCTATTTATTAATTATGCTGGACTAATAATTGTAGGTGGTGTTTAATTAAAATATGTGACGAAATAATTTATTTTTTTGACTAAATAATTAATAAACTGACTTAATAATTATTGAAAATGGTGGGAATCGAAAACCCAGTGAATAACACTGTATATAAACTTGAATATAAAAAGCAATAAATTAGTTCGGGTTATAGTTCAAAAAATATTATAATTGAACTATAATTTTTACCATTTAACCCAAACTTGTCGTTTAAGTCAAACTTGTCATACTGTAATTGAACAAAATGTGTATTAAATATTTTTGAAATAAATATTATTATTATTTAAACAGATGCACGTGTACAAATCAATTTACACGTTTTATAAAAAATAAAAATTGTATTGTTTTGTAATTATCGTTATTTGAAATTCAAGTTTAATTTCAATATTGAAATTTGTAAACGTTTAACACCCAATTTGTTTTAATTTTTTTTAAAATGAGTGTATTAAATACTAAGAAAAACCTTTAATTTGTTAACCCTACCAATACCAGAAATATTATTGTTATAACACGCATATGGATGAATATAAACTTTAATTTTTGAACAGAAAGAAATTCTAATTTATATGTTATTAAGCTTTAATGTAGTATTTTTTAGTTCTGGTTCGATTTAACATTTATAAAATATAAAAAGTTTGCACGTTTTATTTTTTATATGTTATATGTATATTAAGTCTATAACTGTTTGATCACACAAATTAGTTATAACATATATTTTATAGTAATCTATAGAAAAGTTCTTTCTTTAAAATTGTCAAAAATAGTGATGTTGTTTATATACAATAGTTTATTTTGTGTAATGAAAACGATTTTTTTAAAACTATAGTTAAGATAATAATTTTGTAAATATATCTCGTATACATATGATTCTCAACAAAAGCTTTAAAAATGAGAACGCTAATTATCAGTGTGGTTGCACAACTAATAACATAATATTTAATTGTTTGTTATAAATATCATAATTCAATGGAATGTCAACATTTTTACAATATAGTTACAAAACATCAAAACATTTACAACACAAACTGAATAACAATACTTATTTTAAAATTTTAAAAGTATAACGTATCCCTTGTTTTTGAATGAAAGAATTTTTTATCAAGATTTTATTTGATACGTTTTTTATTTAAAAACCTTGTTTTTGGCAATACATATTATGTATAGTTTATTATACTATACACAAATTATTGATATAAAAAGAAAAAAATAAAACTTGAAGATAATAACAGGAAATTTCGTCAAGTTTTCCTCACAGATAAAAAAAACATTTTTTCAACAAAAATACGATTTTAGGTTAAAATTTACTATTAATTTGTAGTAAATTAAACTGTTTTTTTACTATTAATCTTGTTTTCTGGTATTCCCCATGGTTGTAAAAAGTTTAAAGCGTTTTTTGCATTATTTTTTTCTAATATACACTCAAAATGAATAAGATATAAATAAGTTTACATTTTTTGAAAATTTTTGGTACTGGAAGGGTTAATACTTTGCAGCTTCTTTTATTTTGTTTAATATTAAAAAATAAAAAAGTTGATGTTTTATTTTTTTGCCAAGTGAAAAAAAAATAAAAAGAGAAAAAAACCTGTTTGAACTTTTTTGAGAATTTTTATTTTTGTGATTTTAGTAAAATTTATATTTAAATGATAACAAAAATTTCTAAGATATTGGAATTATTGTTATTTTTTAGCATCTCTGGGTGTTTCATTATATATTGCAATTTGCTAAAACGACTAACGTTTGTAATATACGTTTTGACGCCACTTGACGTGACATTTTATCGACTTGATTCACATTAATTCATAATGTTTTTTATTTTAAATACACACACTTACAATTAAAGAGAATAAAACGTCTGTTTTTATTTTTCTAATGTACCAAAATTTACTTCGATAACCATTGCTAACATTAAGTATCTTTATTTTAGTATTCAACGTTAAACATATCACTTAATTCGGAATTGACTTAAAATTACAAAAAACGAACTGTTTTTGTTTGAACATTTAGTTTTTAATTATAACGG